TTTTGTGTTTGTGTTTTTACTGTGTGTGTGTTCACGGTGTGTGTGTGTGTGTGTGTGTGTTCACAGTGTGTGTGTGTGTGTGTTCACACAGTGTGTGTGTTCACAGTGTGTGTGTGTGTGTGTGTGTTCACACAGTGTGTGTGTGTGTGTTCACAGTGTGTGTGTGTGTGTGTTCACAGAGTGTGTGTGTTCACTGTGTGTGTGTGTGTGTGTGCGTTGACACAGTGTGTGTGTGGTGTGTGTGTGTGTTCACAGAGTGTGTGTGCTCACAGTGTGTGTGTGTGTGTGTGTTCACTGCTGTGTGTGTGCACTTGGATGGGTTAAATGCAGAGCACTAATTCCGGGTATGGGTTACCATACTTGGCCACATGTCTCTTTCACTTTCACTATATGCATGTATTTATTTTTATTAATATATTTTATTTTGAATATATAACAATTAATTGAAGTATGTGTGTATGTATAATTTAAAAAAAATAATTTTCTGTATAATAATTAATAGTGCATGTGTTTGTGTGCGCAGACTGGCTCGGTCAGTGCGATCGCTCTACAGCGAGGTGCCACCCGACAGCAGAGAGATGTTTAACCCCTCCATGACCCCAGGAGCCTGTATGGACCCCTACATGCGGCCGCCGCATGGCATGATGGGACACCGCGGGATGCCTCCGCCTGAGAGTGAGAGCTCGTCATTATCATTCACTCATCAGACGCAGATGAGGAGTCTCACATTAACTGAGTCTGAATTCTGAGAGTCTGAGGAAATGAAGTGTGTGTTAAATTAATGCAATAAGCCCCGTGAAGCCGTGGTTTACAGTGTATTTATAACAGCTAAGAGGCGTTGTTTGGTAGCTGTTATAAATTCACTGTAAACCACGGCTTCACGGGGGTTATTGCTTTTATAAAACGGTTATTCCATATACGTAGTACGGTTTCACAAAATAAAACGGAGCAAATAAAGTGTAGTGATATTAATAAACACAGTATTCTTCCACCAAACAATGTAGCTCCTCAGAAACAGTTGTGGTTGCTACAAAGTGGTTGCCGAGCAACACACAAACGTAAACAAAGGTGTGTGTTACTTTGTATTTATAACAGCTTTGAACTCGGCTCAGCCAATCAGAATCAAGCACCGGAACTCTCCGCTTTATAAAGTGTTAATTTTGTCAGCTATTTTCAATTTTAGTCTTAGTCTTAGTCCCGTGTTAAATGTCCTTGTTAGTTTTAGTCGACTAGGTTAAGCCAGGATTTGTCCATAGTTCAATTAGGACATTTAAGTAGCTTTTATAAATATGACATAGATAAAAACATTACTAGCGTGCATCTTGAGACAAAACAATGAATCTGACATATTTTAAGATCAATAAGTGCACTTTTATTATAGGCTATTTATTATATAAATTAATATCAAAGACTTATGCACTCTCTCTGTCTACATTATGAAAACTGGTAAAACAAACAAAAAATATTAACAGTAAAATTCCTAGTAATTCCACAATAATTCCAAATTGCAATAACCTATTTCTCTATTAAAACAACAGCGGTTGAGTAAGTGCATTTATTCAGAAACAACAATCTCAAACAATATAGTCGAGATCTCATGACAGAACACAGACCAGCTTAGTGACCATTTTATTTAGATCGCTAAACTCCGCAACGAGGAGCGAGCGCGTGCGCATGGTTGCCAGATTGCATAAAATAAGCGAAACACAGAGCAGAAATTGTATCCTTGTAACAGCGAAGCTCTGATTCGGGGATTTAAACTCTTGATATCTGGCAACCGCACTCATGAACGCTCGTGTAGTAGAGTGTTGAGCAGTTGTTGTTTTTTTGACGAAAATAAAAATAGGTTTTTGGTAAAGTTTTTATATTTTTGAATGCATTTTAGTCTTGTCTTTTTTCATCAACGAAATTGCATGTTGATATAGTCATAACCAGTGTTGGGGGGAACGCATTACAAGTAACGCGAGTTACGTAATCTGATTACTTTTTTCAAGTAACTAGTAAAGTAACGCATTACTTTTTAATTTACAAGAGAATATCTGAGTAACTTTTTCAGATAAGTAACGCAAGTTACTTTTATTTTTCCTCCAATTTATTGATTGACAGCTCTGGTGTCCCCATGCTGAGAGAAATTAGAAGATGTTACTGTAGTTCTAAAATAAATATGAATATGCATTAATTCATCTCACTCACACACACAGATTCAGTATTCCTCAAAATGAATGAAAATAATGCAACTCAGAATATGACACAAACCTCCAATAATTAAATCTTAAACAACACAAATATGCTTTATGTATTTAATCCCATTCTATTAACCAATGTCTTTGCTTCTGACCTTCGATGATCCAGTTCAACCGTACTAATAAGCACAAATTACTTTGTTTATTGCTGAAGTGTGTTGAAATGTCTTCTTCTGCGTTCTACTGTACGGACGTAAATGTACTTTCCCTTCAGCCTGAGGCTTATTCATTTCACTTTTGGTGAGAAAATGTTTTATATTTGCCAAAAATAGAACTTTTTTATTTTAAAAACAAACAAGCAAGCCCTGTCCGGATTTAAAAAGTAACGCAAAAGTAACATAACGCATTACTTTCCATAAAAAGTAACTAAGTAATGTAATTAGTTACTTTTTATGGAGTAACGCAACATTGTAACGCATTACTTTCCATAAAAAGTAACTAAGTAACGTAATTAGTTACTTTTTATGGAGTAACGCAATATTGTAACGCATTACTTTTAAAAGTAACTTTCCCCAACACTGGTCATAGTTATCGTTTATTGACCTTATTGTCATCTCGTCTTAGTCACGGGAAAAAAGCTTGTCGATATTTTTCGTCATAGTTTTCGTTGACGTAATGAACACTAGTGTTAAACAGTGTTGTTGTTGTTGATTTAGGTGTCAGCGGCGCCCCCTACTGTAACCAGAGCATGATGGGATCTCACCATAACCAGCCGGGATCTGAACACATGGCATCAGGAGACGGTGAGACGGCAAACTCCATCACAGTCCGTCACTATAAACCCTTCACTCGACTTCAACATGATCCGACCCGTTTAGCATTTCTAAAACATGACAACTTTATTGGAGGAGAAACCTTTATAAATCTGCTTCAGTGTCACGTGATCTTCAGAAATCAGTATAATATGCTGCTTTGCTGCTCAAGAAACATTTCTGATTATTATCAATGTTAAAAACAGTTTTGATGCTTAATATTTTTGTGGAAACGATGATACCACTCAAACATTTGTATAAGATTTAAAAAAGAGAGAGAAATTAGTAATTGTATTCATCATGCATGAAAGTGATAAAAAGTGAGTGAAGACATTTCAAATGATTTTTATTTAATAAATACATTATATATATAATAATACAGTTAGTACAATACAGTTAGTAATTTTAGTGCTTAGTAACTTTGTTATGTGCTTTTGTCATTTTTAGTTTTTATGTATTTTATTTCCAATTAGTAATTTTAGCGCTTCAACTTAAACTTAACAAAAATATGTAGCTTTAAGTGCTTTTGTCATTTTTATTAGTTTTTTATCCTACTATTTATGTTTGATTTATTTTTATTTCAGTGTTAGTTCAAATTTAGTTTTGTTTTTCTAGTTAGTAATTTCAGTGCTTCATCTTAAACTAAAGGAAAATTTTAAACTTTGTTTTTGCCATTTTTATTAGTTTCTATTTAAAATCCTATTTAGGTTTGATATATGTTTATTTCAGTTTTAGCTCATATTTAGTTTTTTCCCCAGTTAGTAATCTTAGTGCTTAATTTAAAATAAATGAAAAAAGTACTGTTATGTTTTTATATTTGTATTCTTTTTTTTTTAATCCTACTATTTATGTTTGATTTATTTTTATTTCAGTTTTAGTTCAAATGTAGTTTTTAAATTTTTTCCAGTTTTTAACAATTTAATGACAATTTTTAATGTGTGATTTTGCCAGATTATTTTATTATTTTTTATTATTATAATATTATTTTATTATTATTTTTCAGTTTTAGTGCAATTTTAGTTTTTATTTATTTATTTAGTCATTTGGTTATTTATTTATTTTGTAAAAAAATAACAAATATTTTGTATTTATTAACTTAAAATGGTAATTGTTAATTTTGTTATGTGGATTTGCTTTTTATTAGCATTACTATTTAGGTTTGATTTTATTTCTGTTTTAGCAATTTTATAATTTTTTTTCAGTTATTCATTTTAACAAATTTAATTAATGTATTTGATAAATGCAAATAAATACTGTTCATTAAACTTTCTATTTTTCAACAAATCCTGGAACTATTATTTATAGTTATTTAAGACTGTTATTTATTTTGTAAAAAAATAACAAATATTTTGTATTTATTAACTTAAAATGGTAATTGTTAATTTTGTTATGTGGATTTGCTTTTTATTAGCATTACTATTTAGGTTTGATTTTATTTCTGTTTTAGCAATTTTATAATTTTTTTTCAGTTATTCATTTTAACAAATTTAATTAATGTATTTGATAAATGCAAATAAATACTGTTCATTAAACTTTCTATTTTTCAACAAATCCTGGAAAATAAAGTGTATCACCATTTCCAGACAAAATAGGAAGCAGCAAAATTGTTTTCAACATTAATAATAATCAGAAATGTTTCTTGAGAGTCAAATAAATCGTAATGATTTCTAAAAGATCACGTGACACTGAAAACTGGAGTAATGCTGAAGAATATTCTGCTTTGCCTCACAGGAATAACATTACATTTTATATTATATTAAATTTGAAAACTGTTTTTTTATTTGTAATAACATTTCACAATATTGGTGTTTTTTGACTTTATTTTGATCAAATAAATTCAGCCTTGATGAGCAGAAGATATTTATTTCAAAATCATTAATAATTATAATGTTTCCAAACTTTTGGCAGGTACTTTAATAATAATAACAATTCTATTAATACTTTATTATAATATATAATATTATATTGTTATCATGATTATTAAATGCTGTTTTTTACAGGACAATAGTATGTATTATTACAATATAAGATATATCTTTTAATGTGCTAAAAAATAGATTTTTAATAATAAGTGCTGGGGGCGTGGTCAGATTTTCCTGCTTTTTTGTCTCTAGCTGATCACATGCCTGATAAGTATATTATTTTTCGTTAATAATAACAATTCTATTAATACTTTATTATAATATATAATATTTTATTGTTATCATGATTATTAAATGCTGTTTTTTTACAGGACAATAGTATGTATTATTACAATATAAGATATATCTTTTAATGTGCTAAAAAATAGATTTTTAATAATAAGTGCTGGGGGCGTGGTCAGATTTTCCTGCTTTTTTGTCTCTAGCTGATCACATGCCTGATAAGTATATTATTTTTCGTTGTTAATTCATGTCCGTTCATAATGCATTAACTCCCAAACAGGGATTCCTTGAGATTTTAGGTTGATATTTTAATAATTTAACAACATATTTGCTTTCGCATGATTCTCTAATGTGGGTTAATGGTCACGTGACATGCAGGTAAATAATAAAATATTTTTTTAGGCTATTTTGATTTGTTTTGAATTTTAATATATTTATTTATTTAGATTATTAGCTTTTCATCAGCTCACAAACCCTGCATTAAAGTTAATTAATTTATTAAAGTTTATTTATTGTATTTTATTATTTACATTTTTAATCAACTCACAATTCCAATTCTGAAAACCTTGCATTAACAAAAATGTAAATGTATCCAAGTTTAAATTTTAAAAGTGTAATTGGTTAAAAAAAAAATATTATTTATGTTTTAATTTTAAATTTTTATGGTTAATTTCATCCAAACTAAAATTCGAAAAATGTAAGAGTTTAATTTTGGTTGTCTATTCATTATAATTTGATATTTTTATGATTTAATTAATTAAATTTTTCATAAACTCACAAACTCTGATTGGAAACCCCTTATCTAAATGTTTAGGGTTTTATAAATATTCTAAATAAATGTGATACATATTCTATTGCCCGTTGTTAATTCATGTATATTCACAATACATTGACTACTTTAATTTAAAATGCAATAAAATTGCTCAGTGTTAGTTGATGGTATCTAATGCATGCTAACTAACTGAACCTCACTCTAAAGTGTTTTAAAATCATGAATGAAATGTGACCCTGGAGCACAAAACCAGTCATAAGTGTCAATTTTTTTAAATTGAGATTTATGCATCATCTGAAAGCTGAATAAATAAGCTTTCCATTGATGTGTGGTTTGTTAGGATCGGACAATATTTGAAAATCTGGAATCTGAGGGTGCAAAAAAATCTAAATATTGAGAAAATCATCTTTAAAGTTGTTCAAATGAAGTTCTTAGCAATGCATATTACTAATCAAACATTAAGTTTTGATATATTTACGGTAGGAGATTTACTAAATATCTTCATGGAACATGATCTTTACTTAATATCCTAATGATTTTTGGCATAAAAGAGAAATGTATAATTGTGACCCATACAATGTATTGTTGGCTATTGCTACAAATATCCCCCAGCGACTCAACACTGCTTTTGTGCTCCAGGGACACATATATTAAATGTTAACGCCAAAAATAAATCTTAAAAAAAAAAAAAGTTAAATGTGGTCTTTATCTGGTCTCTCTCTCTCTCTGGTCTCTCAGCGTCTTGTTTCTCGACGCCTCGCTCCATGCTGAAGCTGAGTAAGAAGCGTGCTCTGTCCATCTCGCCGCTGTCTGACGCCAGCGTGGACCTGCAGACGGTCATCCGCACCTCGCCCAACTCTCTGGTGGCGTTTGTGAACTCGCGCTGCGGGCCGAACGCTGCCAGCTCATACGGGCATCTGTCTGTGGGAGGCATGAGGTGGACATTCATCATTAACACTTCATTCACACACTCACATTCCCAGGGTTCTACACATTTTCCGTTTCAAAATTCCATGCTTTTCCAGACTCAAATTTCCAAACCTCTCAGCAGATCTTCGGACCGTATTTAAAACAAATGGTTCATACAGCACTATTCTCAGCTTTATATTTGGTATATGTGACCCTGGAGCACAAAACCAGTTATAAGGGTCAATTTTTCTAAATTGAGATGTATGCATCATCTGAAAGCTGAATAAATAAGCTTTCCATTGATGTATGGTTTGTTAGGATCGGACAATATTTGGCTGAGATACAACTATTTGAAAATCTGGAATCTGAGGGAGCAAAAAAATCTAAATACTGAGAAAATCATCTTTAAAGTTGTTCAAATGAAGTTCTTAGCAATGCATATTACTAATCAAACATTAAGTTTTGATATATTTACAGTAGGACATTTACAAAATATCTTCATGGAACATGATCTTTACTTAATATCCTAATGATTTTTGGCATACAAGAGAAATCTATAATTTTGACCCATACAATGTATTGTTGGCTATTGCTACAAATATCCCCCATCTTACTATGAATACAGTGAGAGCATGGATGCACGTGAATTAATAGAGATCTACTTGCTCAAAATGTGGCTTTCCTTATGGTACTACTTCTAATATCGAGGCATAATGTCCAGTTTAGCAGCAGAAAAAACATGAAATGGGATGATGGCATGATACAGATTGTCCTATTTGCAAAGTTCAAGGGTCTGTAAAAAAAAAAAAGTGTTCAAAATTTGGCTTTTGTTTTTTGGGCAGTATGCCATATTTCAAGTCGTTAGGTCTCTTTAACGCCTGGGCTGATGGCACAACAGGTGGCTCAGTGTGCATATGCTAAGTTTAATGGTTTCTCATGCGCACATAAAAGTCTGTATATTTTTTATTTTTGCAAAGGTCCTCGAGGCTATGTCATACAGTGCTAAGAATATCATGAGAAGAAACCCAAAAAGCAAAACACATTAAAAAGTGCACCTTGAATTCATTCAGTCGTGTTTGACGTTCACTAAACAGCTGCCATGAAAACACACTTCTTGTATGATAAACTTATTTTCATTAAATTCTTTAAAGTCTGGAAATGCAAATATTTTTCCATACTCTGCTTTCTTTTCCCCACACTTTCCCACACCGCGCAGGAACCCTGGATATCCCTCGCGCTCGCAGCTGTCTCTGATCCATTAATGAGGGTTGTTTCTGTTTTCAGTCCGTCGTTGGGTTTCTCCGGCTCCATGAACTACTCTTGCAGACCGCAGGGGAACATGTATGGCTCTCTCGCTGCATCATGCCCCAGACTCCACGCGCCGGCCAAACACACACACGTGAGTCCACAGGCTGCCATGAAAACACACTTCTTGTATGATAAACTTATTTTCATTAAATTCTTTAAAACTAAATGGGTGCAAAAGTCTGGAAATGCAAATATTTTTCCATACTCTGCTTTCTTTTCCCCACACTTTCCCACACCGCGCAGGAACCCTGGATATCCCTCGCGCTCGCAGCTGTCTCTGATCCATTAATGAGGGTTGTTTCTGTTTTCAGTCCGTCGTTGGGTTTCTCCGGCTCCATGAACTACTCTTGCAGACCGCAGGGGAACATGTATGGCTCTCTCGCTGCATCATGCCCCAGACTCCACGCGCCGGCCAAACACACACACGTGAGTCCACACACACATTTAGTATTATTATATTTTTTCTTAATATTTTAAATTGGCAGTGGCTATTTTGCCAATAGATGCTATTTACACTAAGCAAGATTTTCTGCTATATATACTACTTACTGCAAATAGTGGCAATTATCTGCACCTCAGTACGAGATAATAACGTATTGAGTGTAAATTATCATTTTAATTCAGATTAGTAAATGGATGCATTGGAACAATAAAGCCCTCCCTAACCCTACCCCATACTTTATTTTCAACTTTTTGATTATTTCCTTAATTTTTATTGAAATTAAATGCCCTTCCGATGTGATATGAGATTTTAAAAGGAAAAAAAAATGTTTCTGCAAAAAAGTGGGTTCGAACTCTTAGGTTTAACTTTTTATTTCAGTTTTAGTCTTTATTTATTGTATTTTCAGTTAGTCATTTTAGTGCTTAGTAATTTTGTTATGTGCTTTTGTCATTTTTAGTTTTTATTTATTTTATTTCCAATGAGTCATTTTAGTGCTTCAACTTAAACTTAACAAAATATGTAGCTTTATGTGCTTTTGTCATTTTTATTCGTTTTTATTATCCTACTATTTAGGTTTGATTTGTGTTTATTTCAGTGTTAGTTCATATTTAGGTTTTTTTCCCAGTTAGTAATTTTAGTGCTTGAAAAAAAATACTATTATGTTTTTGCCATTTTTATTCTTTTTTTTGTTTTATCCTACTATTTATGTTTGATTTATTTTTATTTCAGTTTTAGTTCAAATGTAGTTTTAAATTTTTTTCCAGTTAGTAATTTTAGTTTTTGACAATTTGTAGCGTGTGATTTTGCCAGATTATTTTATTATTTTTTTAATATTACTTTTTCGGTTTGATTTTTTTTTAAATTTTTTATTGATTTAGTTATTTATTTTGTAAAAAAAAAAAATTGTATTTAATAACTCAAAATGCAAATTGGTAATTTTGTTACGTGGTTTTGCTTTTTTTTTACATTGCTAAAACGGAAATAAAATCAAACCTAAATAGTAATTTTATCCTTTTTTTTCAGTTAGTCATTTTAGTGCTTCATCTTAATTTAAATGAAAATTAGAAATAAGTTTTTCATCTAATATTTATTTTATTTTATCTTTATTTCAATGAACAAAATGTTTTAATATTTTTAGTTTTAGTTCATTATAATGACCCCGCTGTGTGTGTCTCCAGCTGAAGACGGAGCCTGTTCTGGGCAGCGTGATGAACAGCATTAACATCAAGAGCCTGGAGGAGCATTCGGAGGGAGACGTGGCGAGTCCATCCTCGACTGGAACACAGGTAAAGTTCAGAACATTGTCTAATGCTTGAGTGATGCATTCACATCCTCCAGATTACGGTTGTTTACGTCGTTCTGACATGAGCTGCTGCGCTGTGTTCTGCAGGATCCTCTTCTGGGTTTACTGGAAGGCAGAGATGATCTTGATAAGGAGGAGAAACCTGAAGCAGAGGCCATTTACGAGACTAACTGTCACTGGGAGAGCTGCAGCAAAGAGTTCGACACTCAGGAGCAAATCGTGCATGTGAGAGATTCGTTTCAAAGAGTCAATAACTCACCGGCATGACATTTCAAACATGCATGCTGTTATTTTGTTTCACAAAAACCACGAAAAGATACATTTTGTCTTTGTAAAAATCATAACAGTAGTACGTATGACTTTTATGGTATATACCGAGATTTCTGAAGTCATATGATAGATTTATGTGATAATTTTCTTTTCTTCTGAAGCTCTGAAATCTCATTTGTTTTTGCATTAAGATTCAAAAATGGCACATTGCACCAGGCAGTTGTTATTGTTAACAAAAATATTACAAGAAATAAAAAAGGTAAATGAAATAAAAGGAAAATAAAATATAAATATCAGATGAAAAACATAAACTTGCGAAATGTAAATAAAAACGAGATGAATACGTTTAAGCGACATACTAAAACTTAAACTAAAATTACATTGAAAACTGAAAATATAAAAATAAAAGCTGATATGAAATAACGTTTAAAAATATAATATAAATAAGTATAATAATAAATACAGATATAGAATATAAAAAGCGAATAAAAATGGCAAGCACGTAACAAAATTACTAAAATTAAATTGAAAACAGAGAATATAAAAATAAGAGCTAATTCAGAATATTAATAAATACTATAATTTTAAACTGAAATAAAATAGTTAAACAGAATGTGTGTATGTATGTATATATATATATGAAGAGTTTATTTGCAAAAACCGATAACTGAAAATAAAATAAAATTTCAAAAATCATGTTTTTTATTATGTTATCATGTTTTTATTGTGTTAGTTATCTGTATTTTTTTGTTATTTTTTACCTAATCAAAAGAACCCAACTGCAGTTTGATTGAGATTAATTGGAATACACAATAAAAAAAACATGATTTTTGAAAATTGTTAAAAACTGAGTTATCTGTTTTTGCAAATGAACTCTTCATATATATATATATATATAGGCTAAAAAAGACTGAATCACATAAAGTTACAAAATTACTAAAATTAAATTGAAAAATGAAAATATAACAGTAAAAGCTAATTCAAAATATCATATACTATAATATTGAACTGAAATTAAAAAATAGAAATATATTTTTAAAACAGCTAATAAAATGACAAGAGCACATAACAAAATGACTTAAAACTTGAACTAAAATTGAAAACTGAAAAAAGCCAATTCAAAATATGAATAAATACTATCATACAGTACATAATACTAAAATAACACCAACTTCTTTCCTCCATCGAGCATCTCTTGTCTGTCGTCATGCTTTTGAATCTGATATTGCTCTGATTTTCTTTACAGCACATCAATAACGAGCACATCCACGGGGAGAAGAAGGAGTTTGTGTGTCACTGGAAGGATTGCTCTCGAGAGCAGCGGCCCTTTAAGGCCCAGTACATGCTAGTGGTCCACATGCGCAGACACACGGGAGAGAAACCTCACAAGTGCACTGTGAGTACTCTCTCTCTCTGACAGTCTGTGTTTGAACGCTCTTGAAAACACTGATGTAACATAAATGCTTCTGTTTGTGCGTCTCAGTTTGAAGGCTGTAATAAAGCATACTCGCGTCTGGAGAACCTGAAGACTCATCTGCGCTCGCACACCGGCGAGAAACCGTATGTGTGTGAACACGAGGGCTGCAACAAGGCTTTCTCCAATGCGTCAGACCGCGCAAAGCACCAGAACCGAACACACTCCAATGAGGTAAACTCATGCACTAAATAAAACAAAACTAAAAATAAAATATGCATATGGACCACAAAACCAGTCATAAGAGTCAATTTGTTTAAATTGAGATTGATGCATCATCTGAAGCTGAATAAATAATCTTTCCATTGATGTATGGTTTGTTAGGATAGGACAATATTAGAAAATCTGGAATCTGAGGGTGCCAAAAAATCTAAATATTGAGAAAATCATCTTTAAAGTTGTTCAAATGAAGTTCTTAGCAATGCATATTACTAATCAAAAATTAAGTTTTGATATATTTACGGTAGGAGATTTACTAAATATCTTCATGGAACATGATCTTTACTTAATATCCTAATGATTTTTGGCATAAAAGAGAAATGTATAATTGTGACCCATACAATGTATTGTTGGCTATTGCTACAAATATCCCCCAGCAACTTAACACTGCTTTTGTGCTGCAGGGACACACATTATATATTATATATGTTACAAAAACTTTCTTTTGCGATTTTGAAAACAATGTCAAGTTATCTGCTGGTTATGTGTTGCGTTTCACTTTTTTTGTTTTTGATAATGTATTTGTGGGCCTGTATTTTAGTCAATGTTTGACTAAAATTAATATGACATGACAAAATCTGCATGATATTTTTGTCAAACTACGAGTAAAAGAGCTGTAAAAAAATAACACTGATTGCAATTTATTATTGCATTAATTTATTATAAAATAAAATTGCTTATTTATTGTCAAAGGTCAAAAACTGACTAAAACATAAAAAAGAAGAAAAACTGTACAAACACTGCAATTTATTATTGCATTAGTTTATGATAAAAAATTGCAGATTATTCACAAAGGACAAAAACTATGACTAAAACGAAGAAAAAAAAATTGTACAATAGTTATTATTGAATATTGAATGCAATTATTATGAAAAAATTGCAATTGAGTGAGAGAGACTCGTGAAGTCAAAACAAATGAAGGCACCAACACTCACAGAAAGTTATAGATGCATACTGCGATAGAAAAACAAATTATATTTAAAATATATGATTTAGGTAAGCAACTTTACACGAACAAGATGTTTGCAATATCAATGTGATTGCAATGTGACACTGATTTTATACAATATAAGTTAAAATTAGTGACTTATATTTTAGACATAATATTGACTGTTTTTGCTCAATTTCGCTGACGAAAATAGTTCCAATCAAAGCCACAGCAGAACTGTTGTGTCTCCGAGCAACACAGCGGTGTTTCCTTACTAAATGAATCCACGTTTTTGAACGAATCAAGTGAGTCAATGATTCAGTAACCCATTCATAAAAACTGTCACTTGCCTCGTTTCTGAATGAATCAGCCATTTGAATGAATCGGTTGAATGAATGACTAAATGACTCACTCATTTAAAGAGTCATTTGCCGCCACCTACTGGTGGTTTGATTTCATATTTAAAAACATCATTGCATTTTTCCCCAAATTTCTTATTTGTATGTAAAAAAAAAAAAAATTTAAATATTAATGCTATAAAATTATTTATGCATTTGAAATTTTGAACAAACAAAAAAAATCGGGATCGGCAGGTCACACTTACAAAAAAATCGGAATCGGCCAAGAAAATTGCAATCGGTGCATCTCTAACTAAAGCAATTACAAACGCTGATTGCAATTTATGATTGCATTAATTTATTATAAAATAAAATTGCTTATTTATTGTCAAAGGACAAAATCTGTGGCTAAAAACAAAAACTGTACAAAAAAATTATTCCTATTTATTTTTGCACTAATTTTTTATAAAAATGTGCAGGTTGTTCTTTTGCGTATTGTCTTTTATAATGTACTTGCAGTTCACGTTTGGCTACAGCTGCAGATTATGCCAGATCATGCCAACCACGCTCTCTTGTTTCTGGGCTTTAGAAACCATACGTTTGTAAGATCCCCGGCTGTACGAAGCGCTACACTGACCCGAGCTCTCTGAGGAAGCACGTGAAGACGGTGCACGGACCCGAGGCTCACATCACTAAAAAGCACCGCGGAGACACCGGACCACGTCTGACCAATGCAGGACAGAGCTCTGAACTTCTGATAGAAAAAGAGGAGAGAAGCAGAGAGGACTGCAAATTACTCGCTCCAGAAACCGCTCTGGTAAGACAAACTTTGCCCTCTTTTTCTCTTGACTATCCATTGCAGGCCCGGTTCTACGTTTCAAACGAAATCAAAAGCACCCTCAGTTAAAACTATATTAATGGCATTTTATTGCAGATTTGCCAAACCATCCAGTGCATTAATGTTTGCTATTAATGAATATATTTCAACGTATTTTTGCAGCGTTGAGCAATGTAGCTAATCACAGACATATCTGTTGATTTCTTGAATCAGAGGCACTTAAGTTAGAATTCACTCACCGCTCAAATCGTTCAGAGTTTCTGTTCAGGTGTTGTGAATCTTCTCATTATAACAAAGTGTAGACGTGATGTAAATAATAGATTTGTGTGCAGCGTAGAGAACTTTATTGATAATAAATAATGTGCTATTACTGTTTACTCTATCATACACCGAACGCATTCTGTACGTGCTTTCTCAGTTTAATGCAGCGATCCAACGCAGTGAATCTAATCACCATTCAGGCAAAACTTTTCTAAAAGAATGAGCTACACTGCTGACGTGATCTAATCGCTAGCACACCCTGAGCACATGTGAGTTAATGTATTTCTCTTATCGACGAGACATATCGGCATAATTTTTCATATCGGGCCGATGCCGATATTTACATTTAAAGTCATTATCGGCCGATTTCCGATATCGGTCCGATAATATCGTGCATCCCTAGTGTGCATAATAACTACAATATGTCTTGAATCATTTCTAGAAATCCCAGCCAAGCCCTGGCGGCCAGTCATCCTGTAGTAGCGAACGTTCTCCACTAGGGAGCGCCAACAACAACGACAGCGGTGTGGAGATGAACCTCAATGCGGCGGGGAGTCTGGAGGACCTGACCACACAGGAGGAGAGCGGGAACACCGGCGGCGGCTCGGGGGGAATGTGCATGTCCGTTCAGGCCTTGAAGAGGTTGGAGAACCTAAAGATCGACAAACTGAAGCAAATTCGCCGGCCAACACCACCTGGGCGGAGCGCAGGGAATAAACTGCCGGCTCTCTCAGGTAAAAGACTAAGCAAATCAAGCTCTTGTTCTTTGTTTGCAATCAGTGTCAATCTGGTGAAAATTTTTGTTGACATGGTATTTTGATTTCATCAACAATAACAAATATTAGATGAAAAATGTGCATCATAATGATGCTAAAGCAGTTTAATGCTATGTGAGATAAATGCACAACATAATATTACAATCTGCACACAATGATACAATTACACAAGTGAATTTGAACATTTGGGCTCATGTATGTTATTGTCATGTACTAAAATTAGAGAGAAAAACTGACTAAAATCAGTAAATATGACGTAACAAAATTAGCAGATTATTTTTGTCAAAGGACAAAAATTATGAGTAAAAAATACATATATATATATATAACAAAAAGAAAATGAAGATACAATAGAAAAAGAATAGAGGAGGCTAGTGTTAGAGGCCTTTTAAAAAAAAAAAGAAAACAAGCAATTATAAAACGAATAGAGAATGCAAGTCTTTGAGAGTCAAGTCAACAAATAGATAAAATAGAATTAGAATTCAATTTTTTGCCATTGAATAATTCTCATACTAACTTCCTTCTCTGCTCCTTTCAGCAACAGGAGAGATGATGGGCATGTGTGTGCCTTCACCCTTGCTCTCCAACCGGCGTGTAATGGAGCTTTCTGCCCCAGATCTGGGCGGAGTTAGCGGAATGGGAATGCCTTGCCCACCAAACGACCGGCGGGGCAGCGGCACCAGCAGCTTCAGCTCTGCCTACACAGTGAGCCGCCGTTCGTCTATGGTCTCGCCCTACCTATCAAGCAGACGCTCCAGTGACGTGTCCCAAGTGGGTCACTGCCATTCCGTAATAGGGACCGATGTTCCCAGTGACCCACTGTCTCCTCAGAACAGCCAAAGAGGTGGATCATGCCAGAACCCTGGGGGATTGCCAGGTCTACCGAGTCTGACTCCTGCGCAGCAGTATAGTCTGAAGGCTAAATATGCAGCAGCAACAGGCGGCCCACCGCCAACCCCGTTACCCAACATGGACCAACCTGGCAACCCTGGAAGATTCCTGAGGGAATGCCATGGCCAACCTCTTCCTCTGTTTCTGCAGCAAGGTGGCACGAGGAGACAGAGTGCTAATGCCGAATACGGCACGGGAGTGATCTATCCACATCAGGCACCCGGGAACAACACGAGGCGCGCCAGCGATCCAGTACGCTCTGGTGCCGACCTGCAGGACTTACCCAAGATGCAACGCTTTAATAGCTTAAGCAACATGTCCCTTATGAGTCGCCGCAATGCACTGCAGCAGTGCGGATCTGATGCCGCTCTCAGCAGGCACATGTACTCGCCTCGTCCACCGAGCATCACTGAAAATGTCATGATGGAGGCCATGGCCATGGATCCTCATGGGACTGCCGAAGGCAGAGAGCAAGGCAACATGATCCAATGTGGAGACCGAGCCTACATGAGCTACCAGCAACCTCAACAATGCAACCACCCTCACAATGCAAGTCAACTGTCTCCCGGACAAGAAGGACTGAGTTGCGTGGATCAAGTCTACCAGTCTCAAATGCAAGGTCCGTACCAGCGTGAGGAGATCTGTGCCACCGGGATAATGGGTCAGGCTGACATTGCAAACAATCTTCTACAGCAAGCTGAGTTTGGCATGAGCAACTGTCAGCTTAGCCCCTCCGGTCCACATTATCCCAGCCAGGGTGATGGATCTGGACCCTGGGGACAGACCAACCAGCTCCACAGCCCTCAGACTGATATGCAGTACCAGTGTGCAGGCATTCAAGGACAACACTACCCTCAACAGGGTGTATACGACCCTACATCTGACCCTGGCCATCAAAGAGTTACTGTAAAACCAGAGCAGTTCCATTCATCCATGGGAGGAGCCAGTTCCTGCCAGAACACTAAACCTCTACACCAGCATCGGCATGATGTGAATATGCAGGCGTATCCACCGCAGTCAGGCCAGGGCATCATGGGCAGGTCCTCCAATGCGAACTGTGAATTCCATCACGGCCAGATGGGAGCACAAGTCGGTCTTCCACAGCAGAGCCAGGCGGGATCGTTCCCGAGCGGTGGAGGGATAAATCTTGCACTGACGGAGAACCGTAGGTTGCAGACGCCAATGCATCAGATGAAGGAAATGATGGTGAGAAATTATGTGCAGTCCCAGCAAGCGCTCCTTTGGGAACAACAGCAGGAGCAAAGGGTAGTCGATGGGAAGCCCGATGGCATGGAAATGGGAGGGCATCAACAAGCTAACCAGAACCTTTATCCTGGAAACTCCTACCAAGGCTACCCGAATCAGAAATTGATGAGCCCACCGCAAAATCGAGTTCCCAGTTCCATCAAGGAGCATACCGCTGGGATGCAGGGATCCTGCTACGGGCCGGATATGGTGCCACGACCACCTCAGGTACGAAAGCCTCTGAGTCGCCAAAACAGCCTATCCCAGCAGACAGGTGGAGCTTACCTGGGCAGCCCGACTCACCTGAGCCCGGTCCACTCCACCACCAGTCCCAGAAGAGGAGTCCGTCTCCCACCGGTTCAACAACAGCAGCATTCGGAAAACTTCACCAATAACAACAAACCAATGTACTGCTCAGGCCAGATACACATGCACCACGACATAGAGAAGACTCAGGATGGACCATGCCTGGCCCAGCAGCACCTGACAGGGATAGACCCTAGTACCAAGCCCACCTCGATGGCCTACTCTGACCCTGCACCCATGTCCAATGCCTTAGAAAACCTGGACTTGGAGAACGCTCAGATTGACTTTGCTTCCATCATTGATGACCCAGAACCTTCATTTTACAGTCCAATAAACCCACAGCTGGGTCACCACCAGTGCTCCTCTCAGACCTCCTCCTGTCTCACCACACCCCAAACCTCCATCACCCTTCCAAGTGGCCTTTCCAATATGGCAATCGGGGACATGACCTCGATGTTGACGTCCCTTGCTGGGGAGAACAAGTATTTGAACACATTGTCTTAAAGTGTTTATACATATAATTGGGCCAAAGTGAGCATGTAGACTCTATTGCCCTTTCAACACTAAAGGTTCCTCTGGACGTCCTTTTTTTGCTCATGCGCCAGGTACTGATGGTTCTGCTGATGTCCTTCATGGGATCCCAGAGATTTTGCATAATAGTTTTGTAATTGTGTAAAATATGTTGCTGAACATTACCACAGAGGCCTAATGACTATTACTGAAGGGGCATTCCGGTCACTACTATGAGACTGTTTACGATGGAAATCTTGTTTAAAATGTAAATATGAGCTTTGGACTGTAAATGGTGGCAAGATAGTATAAAGAAAATCTCTTTTTTGATACATATACAGACTTGGACTGGCACAAAAGCCACATGAACTCTACATAAGAAGACTGAAATACTAAGTGAGCGAACGTGTAAAGGAAGAACCTGGTTGGCACGTTCTCTAGAAGTATTGGTAAAGACAGGACTCAAGTGCCTTCAACCATTGTGGCCTCTTTGATTCCTCACAACATGTTGGAGAAAACTCGACAGATGAGACACATGGACAGTCAGATAGAAACACTGACAGATGGATAAACTCAGTATGAAGCCCAAAGTATACGAACACTTAATGTATGAGTACAACAGAATGCATAGCCTTTCAAAGTATACTCCACTTAATAGTGCACAAAAACACAGGTGGCTGACACATGCGCACTAGACAGTTTCATTTTTGCCGATGTCTGTGCTATTTCTCTACAGAAGTTATGAGCAATAAAAACAAATGCTTTTGTTCTCTATTAAACTAGCAGGTGTCTATATTCTTGTTGCGCCTCCAGTAGATTGCGGTTCCATCTCGTTTCTTTTTCTACCGTGAAACAACCAATGTCGCCACCTTGTGGACCAACTAATTAGTGCAAAGAAGATGTTTGCTCAAGCTGAGTGTAAAGAGTACATGCATATACATTGGGCTTAGGAGAAAGTGTGTTCTCACTAAAACGCATCACTAACTGTCATAATGGCAGATTACAGAACAGTATTTTGAAGCCTCGTTAACTATCTCTAGGTCTAGACAGGAGCCTTTGAGTCATGATATTAATTAAAAGTTCTAGTGTTTGTTTTCTGATTATTTGACTAGTCTGCTTTCAGACAGATACGTTAAAGGGTAACGGCACTGAGTGGTTTTTGTAAGGTTTCTTTTAGTTTACGCTGCGCTATGTAACCCAAGCTAGCATGCAAATGCATTGCACTGACAACAGCACTGAGCTGAGGAGAAGAGATTAATTTTAATTAATGGTTCCATATAGTATGAAAGGTACATACAGTGCAGGTATTTTATTTTTTGGTTTTAAGTCCTCTGTTATTTCAACACTTTGTCTACGTTGTGCCTAACTCGTTTTAAGTATCATTTGATCATTTAAGTGTTATAGAGGGCTGCAACCCTTTAAAAATCCCAGTGTTTCCACTTTCTGTGGCATACCAAAGACGACCGACACTGAGACGAGTCCACACTTGATATTTGCTAGACATCATTTCCATAGACAGCTAGACGTCATGTGCTTCCATATTGCTGCAAAAATGTAACGATGTTCTTTTTATCATTTCCTCTTTTTTTAAAGAAAAAAAAAACATTTTGTGGTTTTTGCATTTCTGTGTGTTTTTATATCTGTCACAGTTCACTCAAACCTTTTTTTGCTGGCAAAAGTAGTAACAGATTTATGATATTAGCATTTATCTCATCTATTTACAAGGAAGTGATATTTTTGCATACCGTTTTCTACATTTTTGTACAAAAGTACTATATGATACCAGTTTATAAATAAACAAAGCCTGTGATGGAAGAAAATGATGTACTGTATTATGTTTCTTTGTGCATATACACGTCATTGTTATTTTAGTATCATTGAGATACTATTATAGTTTTAATTTATATTTTGAATTGGTGTGGATTTTTTGTTTTCATTTTAATTTTAGTTGAAGTTTTAGTCATTTTGTTTTGTTTAGTCGTTTTTATTAGTTTTAGTTTTTTAAGCATGTTTAGTTTTTATTAGTGTTTATTTCAGATTTAGTTCTTTTAGTACATCAGGTTAAACTATATGAAAATGAGAAATGTTGCAACTAGCTGAAATAGGTCATTTTTATGTTTTATTTCATTTCAGTTTATTTTATTTCAAGTAACGCAAGTTTTTTTTTATGGTTTTCGTTTTATTTAACTATAATAACCCTGATCCATGTACTACTCTTAATAGAAAATATTCGGACAACAGCATGATGTGTGCTTTTTGAATGCTTTAACCACACCGAAGAGCCCGGATAGCTCAGTAGGTAGAGAATCAGATTTTAATCTGAGGGTCCAGGGTTCAAGTCCTTGTTCGGGTGAAGTGCAATCTTCTGGGGAAGTCGTGGGCTAATGGTTAGAGAGTCGGACTCGTAACTCAAAGTCTCCGGTCTGGCAGGGATTGTAGGTGGGGGGAGTGAATGTACAGCGCTCTCTCCCACCTTCAATACCACGACTGAGGTGCCCTTGAGCAAGGCACCAAACCCCCAACTGCTCCCCGGGCGCCGCAGCATAAATGGCTGTCCACTGCTCCGGGTGTGTGTTCACTGTGTGTGTGTGTTCACTGCTGTGTGTGTGCACTTAGGATGGGTTAAATGCAGAGCACTAATTCCTAGTGTGGGTAACCATACTTGGCCACGTGTCACTTCACTCACTTTATTTTTTTCAGGTAGAAACACGTCAAATGTCCTCTAGATGGCGTCAAAACTACAGCTCATGGTCTTTGTGAGGTCTTGAAAGCCACACACAGGGTTTATGTTACACTGGCATATTAGATCCCTCCTCCTTTAGTTACAAAGAGAACATTTTTGCTCACTAATACTGAAATCTCTGTGACAAAGCTAATCCTCTCCATACTTGCCCTTTCCCTGATTATAAGATCAAAAGAAAGATTTCCCTGGACTACATGCCAGTGTGTGTGTGTTTGAGTCTATAATGCTGTGGCTCCCGGTCCCTGGTACCCTGATTCGGCCCCACGGATCTAATGCTGTGTGCGGCATGAATCCAATGAAGACCTGCCCTTGACATCCCCATCGCCAACTCCGCTGACTCAATTCTCCCTGTCTCCCATCTGTTATTTGCTACATAACTGATTGATCGTCTCTGCTTCTTCCTTTCGCTCTGAACCTTGCTTCCATCCTCGTTTTCATGACTTGACCACCGTTAGCCATCTCTCATCTCGCACTATCCCTCCTTCATCATTAGTGGCTTTTGCTCAGGCAAGGATCCCTTTACTCTTGCTCATACTTAGGGTTACCTCAAGTATTGAAGCCGTCCCACACTGTTTGTGCTATGAACATGAATGATTCCTCTGCGTGTTGTCATTTTTCAAACTGTTTGCATTTTTTTGCAAAAAAAATGTAGTTTGCTATTTTTTTATTTTTTTTAAATCATTAAACAAAAACAAATGATGTTTATTTTGTGATGCATATAAATTCTGAAACCCCAATCAGTGCAAACCCTTTCTGCCACATGCACTCAATTCTCACTGAACAAATGCATAGGAAACGTACTAGTCGTTCTATAATTAACATCTGCAGAATGTAGCATTCAGCTGATTTCTAAAGAGAGAGTGCAGAGGTTTAACAGCACTCTGAACTACAGCCTGACTTAAGCCACAATCTACTGAGCTGAGGTTGCTGATACAAATGGAAATGGCAAAATAAGCGCTGAGGTTTTCACATGCAAAGAAGTGAAACCAGCATAATGACTTTTCTTTTCTTGGTTCGCCATTCAAGTCGAGGCTTTTTATTCTCTTTGTCACAAAGGTTGGCATATAATTAACTCCTGTTTAATATGCTGTTAAGGAAGACTCCTCCCTTTGCTCCCTCTCTGAACCCCTGCCAAACTCGTGCGTGTGCACGCTTGGAGACCCCACGGGACACCCCACCCTATAGGGCGTCCCTCAGTGAGTATGGAGGTGTTTGGGAACATTTGGTGCGCAGATTCTTGCACTTACTGGCTGTTTTAGACTCATTGCACACAGCAAACTGCACTCTGTGTCTGCACCTAAAAAGACAACGGTACCTCGTTTATAACGTTCATGTAAAAACACTTTCTTGCTATCATCTGCAGGGGCAGAGGTGAAGAGGTGAATGAGGCTTTTCTTTGTGTCCACCTTTACTCCTCTCATCCAAGATCCACAGCAGGGTGTAGGTTTATGACCCATTCCATCTCCTTTCCTCTCATGGACAAAAGGACTGTGACCTCTCATCCCTTCTCCTTTTCTTTGGCTTTCTCCACCTGAAACTCTCTATTTTATGCCCCTGAAAAGACAAATGTCCATTAGAAACAGCAAACACAAGCTTAGCATTTTGCCTTTTAAATGCACAGGATTCACTACTAAAAATGACCATGGTTCATACATTGTTAGTACCTTGTAAATACCATGGAACATCAATATGGTAATCATTCTGTTCCTCAATGGAAATTAAAGCACTATTAGCTTCTGATATCATTACTGTAGCCTACTGTGGTACCAACGCAGTATTTTTCTAAAGTTGTATAAACAAACAGCTGGCATCCTAACTCCTTTCAAATGCACAGGATTCGCTATAAAAAAAAAGTACCATTATAATGCATTAAGTTTGAAGTAGCCTATTGTACTGTGTAAAAAATGAATATGGTAGCAATCATTATGTTTCTCGATGGAAATTAAAGTACTGTAGGCTAGTGTTACATTTTGATAGCACTGTAATGTTTTATCGACAGCATTTTTGTAAAGTTGTATACACAACACGTTAAAATAACTGCAAAAACCTGATATAAAAGATCACGGATAAGTCTTGCCACGTAATTCACGACGCTTCTGCAAAGCAAAATATCCAAGTAAACTATACAAACCATGTTTCTTTTAAATCTCGGTCATCCTGTGGTAATATTTAGTGTTGCGGGTTTTCTTGTAATGCATGTAAGATGTTTTTTCCAGACAAAACGGAGAAATCCGCGAGACAAGACATAATCAAGACAACGTGAATATAATCGATAGTTTTCAAAGAGCAGAAAATATTATATTATATCTGGCGTGTTATTTCAGATCAATGTGTATTAGCCTGCTGCTGTTGCAAAACAACAAAATTATATTCATATTAATAATAATTAACAAGAGTAAGATTGCCATTAAATAGAAAACAGAATAACTTAACTATTAACATCATTTAAAGCAGAAAAAGGGATCAAGGTCCACCCTATTGCGCGGCATTATCATGACACTGCGCGTTTGTGCGTGTGAATGCCAAGGTAGGGGTCCAGGAACGGTGTGTTGGAGTTCTTCTGGTGTTTTTCTTTTTCAGTTGCTAAACAGATCACCGTTCAATTACTCGCACAAAAGAGGTGACAATACAATACTTCCTACAGCGATCAACAGGAGAAGAGCGGCCGGGAACAGGTGCGATTCGCTCCCAATGAAACGCGTAGGCTACCTGCGCATTAAAACACCGTTCAACCAATATTTTTAAAAGGTAATGCATTGCGCGTAGTCTATGTATTGCGATCAAAAATAGAATTGCAAACCTAAAATTTGAGTTGGCTATTAACGTCTGGCGCTTCATAAATACAAAAACAAGCATACAGCCAAGCGCTTTATACAGCTTTACAGTGTCAACAAGAAAATAGTTGGTCAATAATGCAAGAGGACTATAACAAAGAGTCGTTTCCCCAGCTCAAGTCATGATGATTCAGCGATGCCAGTCCAGCCCAGCTGTCTTCCAATCTGTGCAATCAGTCAAGCGTCCCCAACTAATTAAGCAAGCCAAAGGAACTTGCGGTGCGCTTTGCATCATTGCTGCAGCCCTCAGCACGAGCATCGCATTTTCATTCAACTACATGCATGTATTTAATTTGATCAAGTTATTCGCACGCACGCTAGCTAGTTATATCCTATTAGGAGCAATAAAATGCATGCGTAATATTATTGCTACGCGTTTATTAAGCATGGCCTATATGCTACATTATACCTAACTGGTGTTTATGACTAGAAAAAAAATCATGCATAAGCAAAATTCAATCTTTAATAAAAAAGCAACCCCTCCTTAGGAAATCACACACTTTTAAGTGCGCAAATTCTCCTTTCTTAGACACTTCGCTGTAGTTTGGGCTGACACCAGACCTGCCTCCGATGACATCACCAGAGCCGCTGCTGATCGCGACGCTTCGCTCGTTTATCCGCGCGCTCACCGGGCAAATACAGCCGAGGCATGGCAGAGAGGAGCCGAGGAAAGCGGAGGAAACAGGCGAACCCGCGGAGAAACCAAGGTTAGTGGTGAACTAACCGATCGAGCTGCCTTGAGAAGTTTCTAAGTTGATTTCTGCGCTAGAAAAACTTGATCAGCGACGTTTGCAACCGTAGCCAGACATCAGCACCTCCTAAACTATTATTCCACGAATAGTATATTACTTTACTTTAATGCATTAGTAGCCTACATTACTTTTTTCTTGCTTTGACTGTCAGCTTTAAAGTTTGCAGAACTTGCGGTCCGCTTTGCATCATTTCTGCAGTCCTCAGCATCACGTTTTCATCGATTT